ATACAGAGTGGCCCAACGAGAAGTATGCAGAGGGCTTTTAGGGTATTAAATTTAGAAATTTCGAAAAATCCTCGAACACGTCAATTTTGTATTCGAGGGGGACAACTTTTGGAATACAAATCACGAACCCAAGTCTTCACCCCTCTAAGTAGGGAGCTTAACCCCTAAAATTTTAAATGGAATCCTATGGCAAATGGCACATTATTTGAATGCCAATTTAATCGTGATTACTAATCTGCTTTGCTTTTTAAATTCTATCGATTCGTTTCAGAGAACTGACAGGTTCACTTAAAAACAAACAAATTGAAGCGTCAAAATAAAATTTTAATACAAGGTGACTTAGATCGCAGGTTTATAAAAAATCATTTCAAATGCGAATTATCTCCGAAACGAATCAATAGAATTTAAAAAGCAAAGCAGATTAGTAATCACGATTAAATTGGCTTTCAAATAATGTGCCATTTGCCATCGGATTTCATTTAAAATTTTAGGGGTTAAGCTCCCTACGTAGAGGGGTGAAAACTTGGGTTCGTGATTTGTATTCCAAAAGTGGTCCTCGAAATAACCCAAAATTGACGGTGTTCGAGGATTTTTTCGAAATTTCCTTAAGGTTTAATACCCTAAAATGCCCTCTGTATACTTCTGCGTTGGCCGACGGCGATGGTCTGGGGGTTTCCGTTTTGTTGTATGTGTGGACGTAATTACTAAATGGGGGGGGGGGGGGGAGGGGGCTGTATCTCTGATAATGTTTTCTATCAACAACGTTTCGTTCAGTACAAATAAAAAGTTTTGTAGGTACTCATCCTTTATACATATAACTAACTTACGAGACAACATAGACACTCATACCAAATTGGTAATCCACAATTGGTTTGCGAGCCAAAATAAAAGGAAAAACGCCTTCTGGCTTTCATGGTCTGCCTGCTACTGATGCGATTCAGAGAAACGGACAGGGTATGTGAATGAGAATCAGTAGGTTTTTCTCAAACCTGACCCCTCTGTTCGAAAATGTTAGCTAACCCAAAGAAAGCCTCACAAGAAGCTTCAAATGGTTCCATTGAGACCCATAAATTTGTTCTTATTTAGTTTAGAAACGATAATTATGATTCTTCGCTTGGTCCTTCCCCCTCTTTTAAGTTCGAATACAAATTATGCTAATATTTTATTATAGTCCATTTGTTATTACAGTTCCGATATGTAATTAACCCCACTAAATGCAGTGTTAACTTTTTTTACTTCACGTCGTCGATTTAATATAAACAATTCTCTCAAACAAACTGTAACGCGCTATTGTTGACGTGCAGAATAAGAAAGAACAAAGTACGGTTCCGAAATGGTTAATCGATTCTAGATCGTATTGCTTAGGTCAAATAATATTAATTGAACTGAATTTCGCTTGCATCCAGTTTTTGTTTACAGCAATGTTGTTTACGCCTACTTGATGGCTTGCCATGCAAGCGAAATTCACTTCAATAAACATTCTTTAACGTAAGCGATACAAGCTAGAATGGCTTAACCGTTGTGGTACCTTACTTTGTTCATTCTTATTCTGCACGTCAACAATAACGCGTTGCAGTTTGTTTGGGAGAACTATTTATATTAAATCGACGACGTGAAGTAAAAAAAAGTTAACGCTGCCTTTAGTGGGGTTAATTACATATCGGAATAGTAATAACGGATGGACTATATCATGTTTCCCTTCGGAGAAGTTTTTATAACTATACAATGATATTTTGCAATTTGTAATTTTTTGCAATTATTTGGACTAAATGTGGTTATTTTTCATGGCTCGTTAATATTTGAATATCGGAATACTATTATATGATTGGTCTCGAAACCCTATCCTATCCTGTATGAAAATATTCTACCCCGTATATTATATAATGTCCTAGCCAAAGAACAAACAACAAACACAAACCCTAAACATACCACCTACATTATAAAAAGCGACAAGTTACGTCCTGCCAAAATAGCAGGCACCTGCGCTCAAGGTGTTCCATAGATCTTTTTTTCCTTCCTTCCAGTGAAGTCCCTAGAGCTATTCTCGTGTGATGTATAATTAAGAGAGGGCTATCCTGATTTGAATTTGACTTTGATTGTTTTTGTTATTAAAGTTTTTAATTAAATCTCCCTCCCCCCCCCTCTGCATTTCTTGTGTTTTATGCTGACGATCATGTGCCATGAGTTTCAGTAGGTTTGGCGGAAGTTTTGATTTTTCTTTTTGAATCACGCAGTCGTATACTGGTTGGACATGGGTTATTACAATATAAAGTTGTTTTTGCAAGCTAGCGTATCGAACTTTCATAATTCATCCATTATCCATCGTCCTATTACTAGTAATCCATAGCAAGGACTAAAGAATCATAGGTTTAAAAATCCATGTTAAAACTACTCTGAGGACCAAAAAAATTAAGGATGAATTATGGGTATCAAGTGATGGCAAACGATGGCAGATCTACAGAATTAACATATAACTCTCGCCAGGAAAGATTGCCTGTCACAGCACACCTTGTGTCGGATCTACAATCTATGTTTTTCTTAAGATGCGAGCGACTTCCGGAATAGGATCGTGCCAATGTTGAACGAAAAGTCTTTTTGCTCAACATTGACACGATACTATCCCGGAAGTCGGGCACATCTTTAGAAAAACATAGATTGTAGACCGGGATCAAGTGTTCTGTGACCGGCAATCTTTCCTGGCGAGAGGTTTACACATTCTCGAGCAGTTTGTTCCACAACACATCTAAGGCGATACCATTGTATATTTATTAGATACAATGGTGATACTGAATCTTATTCCTTCCATTAATTTTTGCAGCGTTTTAGATTGTTGCTGGAACAATATAATCATTCGAACTACTTCCTAATTACTTAAAAACAGCTCATTTGTGCCCCTATCCACAGTAGTTATTTACATAAAAGTCAAGAAAATGGCACATTACTGGCGAGGAAATATTGAAGTGCGAGGCCCTTTGGGGCCGAGTATTTTAATTTCCGAGTCAAGTAATGTCATTTTACTGACGAGTTTTGTATTAAATTTTACCCGAAATCGTATTTTAATATAAAATTTCAATTTTCATATAGAACTTTTGATTAATGTCAATCTGTCAGTGATCAGTGATGACAGGAGTCATTATAGACATTAGAAATGTCACAAATGCGGCCGGTAAAGTGACGATGCGGCCGATAAAGTGACAGGCGCGGCCAGTAAAGTGGCAAGCGGCAGAAAACGTAGTCTGTTCTGCATCTGTCATGGAAACCAAAATTTCCTGACAGAAAATAGGCATGAAAATGAAGGATTCAGGACGATTTTGGGAAAAAAAATGGAAGCTTAGATCTGTGGATATATTGATGGCCAATTGGCTACCGTTATTCCCAATAATATTTACTGTCATGAATTATATGGTAAGCTAAAGCTCAGCTTAAATTTGTAGGTGCTAATAGCCATTATTAATCTCTTATTTTTTCCAATAGCTGCACGCGATGTTTTATAATCCTTAGGATTAATGTGCACTTCTAGAGCAGGCGAATGCCGACTCCTGCATAAAGTTTTACAAATGTATGGCAACAACAAAATATGCATCCAAATTAGGACAACTTCCTCCATTGAGTGGCAATGAAAAAGTATGTCGATTGTAAAATAGGCTGAAAAAAAGAATCGACGCTTGGAAAGGTGAAATAATTGATAAATAGTCAGTTTAAATACTTGCAAAATAATGGAGAAGATCTCTGAAGCAAAAGCAACTAGCAAGTGAAGAAGCAAAAGTCGATCGATCTAGTGGATATGTGAAAATAATGGTTTTTTAAACAAAATACCACATGGTCAGCTGTACTGCTGTATTGCATATCCAAGGAGAGCAAAAAGAACTAGAAGAATATGAACGATAGGAAAAAGAGATACGGTACTATTGCAACAAACGTCCTTTTTATTGGTAGTTGTTCACGAAAATTGTTGACCACTCCCGTTTGTAGGGAGTCAATCTTAGGATTTATTTATTTCAATTTATCTGAACATACATTAGTGCTTAAGATCTAATTTGATTTATTATTACATTTAGGGGATGCACTTATTAAGGATGGCCACCATCGTTTTTAATTTACTTGTTCGCCAAAAGGAATGTCTTGGTTTCCTCGAATCGGAATTAATTAAAATGGAAATGCAGCTTCGTAAATCAATAAATAAGTCATGCAATACACGAAGCAGCACATTACCCAATTTGCATTCATTGTCGGGTGGCAACTGGTTTTTTCGCAATACGTATAGAATTTTGTCCAGCCAATTCTTCGGAAGAACCAATCACTAAAGGGAAATTACGAAGAAGTGATACCTAATCCTCAACACACGGCTGTGTCAGGAAAGCATATGCTCAATACCCCCATTTCGTAAGTGACACTTTCTTTTACGATTATTCTTCAGATTATAAAAAAGAGCGTAAGTGAAAGCATTTCATTTACAAATCAAGGAATTAAATTATTATTCACTAACGCTAAGTACGGGGCGTCCCAAACATTTCGAGTGAAAGGCTTAAAAAATTATGGAAAAAAGTCTAACCTTGATCTTAATATTACCAATTACGAAACGGCATTAATCATGAATTTGCAATATTATTAAATTGCGGAGTTAATCGACCGTTGCTGAGCGGTCGATTAGGAATGCAATTGAACAATTTTCTGTCTCATCTTTAGGTTGCATAATAATTTTTTTGGAAAAAAGGTCGTTGCGTAACCAAACTGCTTTATTTTCAAAATGAGGTCGCTTTACATGTAAGAGTACCCCAAAAGCAGTGAAGGTGTGATCCATGGTTTACATCACTGCATTACACCGAAATTCGCGAAAGAAAAGATACAGTTGTCAAACTACTTTGTCAATTAAGTCTAACCTTGCATACCTAAGTACTTAAGCCAATTACAACAAAAGCATTTGTACAATTTTTTTTGGTAAATTCATTGTACCTTTCACTTGTATGTATTAAGCACTAACTTTAACTTTAAGAACATACCCTCAGTTATAAGCATCCACGCTGTTCGCACGAGATCTAACAAACTTCGCCGGTTACAAAGATAAACTGAAATACATACCCCGAGCGAATATTTACATATAAATTTGTAAGAACAATCAACTGCTTGAATTGGTATTATTCTGGGGCACTTTCGCCGGCGTCCCCACCTTTTGAACGACCTCGTATATACCCCCCAAAAAGTAAACATAAAGTTGTCACATACTGCACCGCACGCATCATCAAGTTACACTATTGCGTGCGATGGCATTCACCGTTATTTTGAAATTGAAACTATTGTTGAATTTTCGAGTCCAAATTATGAGAAGCTAGCTTCTTAAAGACCTACCTAAATGACAAAGCTTGTTATCACCTAGTTACCTACTTAGGGTGTACTTATAATTACCACATTTATTGCAATGTTTACTCAAAAAAACCTGTGTACTAACAGCATCCCCTAGGAAACCCCCGGATATTCTGACTATGTGATATGACAGCATCAATTGATCTTTAGGCCCCCCCATTTTGGCGTTGCTCATCGAGCGTCTCTACCCTAATTACCCTCATTATACCATGAAATTTCTTCTCAAGGTTTATGAAGTTAGCACATCCAAGGAGGTTTTAGTGACCTCCGCGTTCATTGTTCTGTAATGCTTTGGTAACGCATGTGCATTATTCTACATATAACAATTCCTGCCTACATTCATTTTGGGTACTAAAAACATTGTTGAGCATTTTACGTAAATAAGACGAAATCCAAAATGAACACATTTAGACATTAAGCCATCATATCCATCATTTTTTGAATCCAATATCTGCAAGAGGAATTTGTAAAGTTCAAACGGTTCTATTTAGTATAGGTCAAATTATTGCATTCAAATTGGCTATATAAATCATAAAAGGCAATGTTTACTAGAGAGAGAAATGTACCCTTCGAAGCTGGTTGAATGGAAAAAGTGCCTAAAGTAAGTTTCATATTGTTACTTTCTTGCACTTCTATTGTGTATGGTTTTCCGCGGTGTTCTTTGAAACTTCGTTAGCATATTCTGTACTTCCAAACAAGGAAATATCTAAGTAATTATGATCAATTAATATTGTATATTTATGTCAAGTTTTACCCACACATTGCGACGCAATTAAATGTGATTTAATTTTAACTTCTCACATGTTTATTGCACGTTTCGTTGCTCAAAGCTCCTTAATTAATTAACAAAATTTGCTTCTCAATGATCGTTGTACCTTGGGCAACTTGAATGTATTCTGTTGCACCGCATTGATATCTCCTTAGTTAGATTTGGTTCTTACTTTTGAGCAAACGTAACAAAATTGCATTTAGATAAGGGGTCGGGCTCGGGGTGAATATCGTGGTTCTTGTTGTAATGTTACGGTATCTGGCACCCGCTTTTATTCGGTTCATTTATGGAGAAAAACGCAAGTTACTCCAATAGAATTGTTCACCGCGCGTTTTTAACAATTCATATGGCGCAAGGGCGAAGTTGGCTGGCGTGCTTTTCATACAGTAAATTTCGCGATGTATTTGTCTTTGTCAACTTTCCATAGGTGTGGGTAGCTTTCATTAGAGATTCATACATACAGAGTGGTGAGGTATTTGGGAGATTTTGTGAAAGTGGTTTCAAAAGTCAATCATATGTTTGTAATGTACGATGGATCGACGATTACGTGCCTTGAGTTTTAGCGAGATTTTTTATTTTTGGGTTTGAGTTGCGCAGTCGTTCCTCGACTGGACTTGGGTTATTACATTGTGTACTAGCAAAACGAAGCAAAAGGGAAATATAGTAATAGTAAACGGAATAGGCGCCACTAATACGCTCCCCCTCCCCCGCTAGGATGATGAAATTAACAAAAATGGTTAGAGGGCACCTTAATTTTAATGAAGCGTTTTCAACCAAAAAAAGTTGCGGGAGAAGCCCTCAATTTACCACAATCTTAATTAAAAGTCTACTTGATTCTTGATTTCGTCGAAATGTGAGGTTTTATTAGTCCACATTTCGCGATTGCTATTAAGTTGGTAAAAGTGTGCGTAACATTCCTGAGTGTCAACTTTAATTTCTTAAGAGGTTATGTTATTTTGTTATATTTCGGAGCGGATCGGGCGTTTACTTAAAGCGCTTTTTTCTGCCCGCGAGCGGTTTTTCCGCTCATGAGCGTTTTTTTCGCTTGCAAGCTCTTTTTTCGCCCACGAGCTCTTTTTCCGTTCGCGAGCGCGTTTTCCGCTCCCGAACGTTTTTTCCGCTCACAAGCACTTTTCCCGAGCGCTCGCGATAAACCGCTCGAGCACTTTTAGGAGTGCTCGGAACTTGCAAGCGATTTCGCTTTGCTTGCGAGCATTTTGAAGACAATTAAAGCGCTCGTCGCTCGAGTGGTTTTTTAGAACGCTCGATCCAGCTCTGTAGGCAACACATTTTTTGTTGAATTGCAGTAAGCACAACCGAGTCGAATATAAGCATCTTCAAAACGTGTGCGCCTTTAAAATGTGCATCAAAAGCTAGTCCCTTTAAGCTTAAAAAGTAAGTATCTAGTTCTCCACATGTTTTACATAACTCATGTGTGCTTTATTTACAGACGAGCAATAATTTTATCCGTGAATCATAATTAGATATTTACCAATTGGGAACATTTTAACTTGTTTTATTAAGAACCCAAGAGAGGGAGATTTTACCGAGCTTGATATACTAACATAGTATACGTTCTTCTGAAGATTCTCTACTACAAGTTGATTGCACTTAATACAAAAAATGCGTTGGATGTTAATCGGCGGTCGATAACAAAGAAGCGATCAATGGAAGATGCGAGAGATATTCTTCCCCTCTCGAGTGTATAAGGCGGTCAGAGACTTGTTATACTTAGACCGCGCATACAATCCCACTTGCGTATTAAGGAGTGTTTCCAACATGTTTAGGCAACACATCATACACGTAAAGGCAAAGCGCGAACTAGTGTAGCAAGATCCTACATATAAACAGTCGATATAAGTAGAATCATTGCATAAACATTTTATTCGGTGGTAAAATGATATGTGCTTATCGACATAACAATGCTTTTAAACAATACTAGTTTGTTGTTTGCCTTTACGAGTTCGGGGGGTGGCCTACCATGTTGACAACATACAACTTGAGCTATGCGCGGTGTAGTAGTAATAAGTATCTGGGGGGGGGGGGGGGTGGATGCTAAGCAGCGATTGATACGAAAAAGTCGTTCAAAGTTAAGCGGCGATCGTTAACAAAGAAGCAATCTATGAAAGATGCTAAAGATTTTCATTCCCCTCTCGGGTGTGTAAAGAGGTGGATGCTAAGCAGCGACTAGTACGAAAAAGTCGTTCGAATGTTCGAATAAAGGATTGCTTCTTATATTATTGTTAGTATTGGTATTATTATTATTTGAATCAAATACACTTTCTGAATGTTCTAAATTTAAAAGTTCCAATAAGGAAATTACATCTGCAATATCATTAGTGGTAAATGATGTTTTTAATTTATTTGTCTTTATATGTATTTCTTTGTCCGATAAGTATGCTGAAACTTTTAAATCAAAATCTACTATTCGTGAGTAAGTAATTACAGGTCCTGGCGAATAATGTAATTTGCATAAAATAAATTTATTATTTTCTAAAATTTTAACCCAACCATCTAGAATTTTAATTGAATTTGAAATATTAAAAAATTGGTGAAAATTTATAAATTTTGTACTCTCCTGTTGTTCGATAAATTCTTTTTTACTAATTTCAATTGCTCTAGCAAAAGCTTCCTGTTTTTTTTAAGCGGTGGTCGTTATCAAAGGGGCGATCTATGGAAGATACGAGAGATATTCCTTCCCCTCTCGAGTGTATAAGGCGGTCGATACGTAAAAGGCGTTCGAAGTTAATCGGAAGTCGATACCAAAGAGTTGGTCTATGAGAGACACGAGAGGTGCCCCGGGTTCCCCTATCGAGTGTACAAGGCGATGCAAAATTTAACCCTTCTATGGTGCGGCGTTGTTCTTTTCTAAGGCGGTCAAGTTTAGACGGTATGCTCTTCCAAAAGTGGTTTTATTAAATTTACTCCACATGGAAGTGCCGCTTATTTTGTGTGTAACTCGAACTAAACCTAAAATCGTATTGTATATTATACCTTTTGTACTACTTTTATTACATTTGTTAATATACACGTTAAACCCAGTACATTTCAAGAAGACGAAGTTAACATAGCTTTAACTTAGGAAATTAATCCCATTTTTTTTGGTTTCACCACCTTAAGAATGACGGAATATAAGTAGTGAACTTTTAATTAAAATTATAGAACATTTAGGGCCTCACTCGCAATTTTTATTGTTGAAAACGCTTAATTCGGGTGTCCTACTGTCCTTTTTATTAATTTTATGTACCCGCCGGAGGAGGGGGGCTTATTAGCGTCACGTACCCGGCGCCACTTAGTCTTTCGTAAATTTCAAAAGATTGGAGAGAATACTTACTTAAAGTGGACAAAAAGGCAGCCTAAGAGACCCTTATTCTAGTTTTGACAAGAAAATAATGATAAAGGTAGTAATTACACTTCGATTGTATCGAAAACCAGTATGTAATCAAACGTTATATCCAGGAGTCAACGAAAATAAAAGTTACCTTTTAAATTACAGGTCACAACGGCCTTATTTAGATCAAGAAGAACGCTTTCGGCCAATCTGTTACAGACACAACACAAACAAACAAACAAGAGGGGTAGTGAATTGCGCGACACATAAAATATTGGGTAAGTAATCTAACGTCTGACACTCATCAGGTACTCGTATACTAAACCGTAAGTAATACTCAATAAGAAACAAAAATTCAACTAACAAAATTCAATTAACTAACCAAAAGCAAAATTTCGACTCGACCACGTATTTCTCGTACAAACAGTTAATTTACGTATTAAAAACTTCGCAGTGCCGTTTTCTAAATTTATAATAATATTTAATTAAGTAGAATAATTGGGTAATACAAAAATGGAATTGAAAGAGGCCAAATCTCGCCCTACACATTATCAAAATGTATAAATAAATGTAGTGTTACATTCTAGTTATTGTAGTACAGGTATAAATTAACGTAAACCTCATTCGGTGTAAAGTTAAATATTCAAAATTTAATCCTTTTACTTCCTCACCTGTGTGACACTTTTTGTTAAATCAGTTTTGAACTGGTTTCAATAATGTGCAATTTTAAATTTTCAATTTGCGGGTGGTGGTGAAAGAGGCAAGAGGTTAGAAGTAACAATATACTTGTGTGCTCAGATTGCATTCTCTTCTATACTAACGAAACGGTTTGGGGTACTTCTAAATGCCTCAAATAAGGAAAAAGGTATGAACTCTTGACGCTTTTTGTCACTCGCTTACAGCCTGTCTATTCGCTATTCAGTTGAATTTCCGATATAGATAGCCTCATATTATGCTCGCCAGGAGAGAATGTCAGTTACAGAACACCTGATGATGATGATATTGTAAAAATTATGTGCAAAATTGCGGACCCAAAACGTGACGTGTATGAATTACCTGAAATGGAGAAAATAGTTCCTTGAAATTGATTCTGTATCATTCTTTTTGATTTTTAAGTTTATTCATGAGTTCATGTAGCTTTTTGTAACGTTTCTTAGTATTTGTATCAATTTTTTCTATTACTTAGATAAAAATATTATTTTTTAGGGGTCGAAAATATATTATATTATACCAGGTTCATTCTTGACGAGCCTCAGTGTTAGAAAGATATGGAGAACCTTTGAAAATGAAACTAAACTGATGAGTCCCGTATGGATGAAATGAAGTAAAATATTTTTAAGATGGCGCCACATCCGCAAATACCGGAAGTGTCCATCAACTTTGTTATTTTAAATAGGGACCCCCTATTGTTTCTAAATTTTCGGATTCTACGTCGAATTTGGAGTACAACCATAGTTGATACTTTATTTTAATTTGATAATCTGAAAAGAATCATATGAGAAGACAAAACCACACAATGAAGAATCGTTCAAAATAAAATTCACGACATATTTAATAAAGTTTTAATTGACGGGTTTAATGAAGAAACTCAACAATTGAAAAGGTATCAAATAATCGAATTTGACGTTTTAAAATGTGTTCCAATATTCCTCCCTCTTGGTTTAAACTTGTTTCTAGCCTTTTTATGACCTTTCCATGAGTTGCCATTTGGATCTGTTAAGATGTTAATGAATTGAAAGCATCTCTAACTCGTCTCTCCATATCAGCTTTTCTTGTTGGTGGTGTAGCAGAAACCATATCTAAAAAGGGATATGTTTAAATAAAATGTTTTTCTATATTGATAAAAATTTATTAATATTTTTACATAATTTAATAATATTACAGCGCTAGGAAGTGCTTGTTTCAGTCATACACCTAGATATTGTAAAAGGAATATGGATAAAAGAGTTGTAAATGGAATGGTTATGGGTGTCGTAGACGGTGTGAGTAGGGTTCCCATCTCAAAACTCTGCCAACTAGGACAGGAAGCGTGAAAACCCCGGATTTAGGGATTATAAACCCGGACATATCAACTGAATTTTAGAAAAAATATTGTCTAAAGAAATAGTCTTTGAAATTCTACTTTATTTTTATCACTGACTAGACTGTTTCAAATTCAATAATAGTATAAAGGAACAAGGGATTAAAAAAGTTTTTGTTCCTGAGAGAATGGTTTAAATTTAATATTTTTTTAAATATTTTTAAGGGAACAAAAACTAGTTTAATCCAGTGTTGCTTATACTATTTTTTCCAATACCGATCGATTTAAATCCATTTTTCCATGAATTGTTTACAAGAAAACAAAAATGAGGGATTAAAATTTTTTTAATCTCTAGGGATTAAAATTACCAGTTAATGTACAAAAATTATGGATGAAATTCAAGAAAACAATGTAGGTATTGGAAAAATTCCTTTCTTTGGTCCACTGTTATGCCACTAGTGAAAATATTCTTTCAACGTTGGCATTATGAGCAGGAATGCAAAAAAAGCACCAGACAATGTTCAATAACTCCAAGTTTAATGAGGATTCGGTGTTTTACAAAATTGTAACCAAAGCTGATTGGCGCCTTAAAAGTTTATCTTGGTTTGACAGAAACTCATAGATATCTCAGTAGCCTAAAACCCGGACTACCAATGAAACCCCGCCCGGACGCCCCCTAAACTAGGACAAATCCGGGGAAACCCGGACGGATGGCAACCCTACGGTGTAAGGAATGGAAAATATTCATAAGATCAAGAAATGTGTTTTTATGGAGACAAACTTATGGCGGATGTATATAATCATTATCATTAGTTCACTATCAAAAATCATTTAAAAAAATAGCCAATAGAATCAAAGGTTTATTGCGCGTTGCTAACCAACGAAACCATCCTGAGCTTAATGAACTAATGATAATGATTACGTTGGAATTAATGGATACAAATTACAAATCTTGGTAATCAAATCTAAATCCTACGTGCAAGAAACTGACAGTGAAACGAAGACACAGCTAAAAAACAGAAATGAGATTTCGGGAGTGTTACAAAGAACAAAATACCTAATCAATCGATACTGGAATAGCAATGGAAAATGAAACAAAAACAATTCAATGCAGATGGATCAATACTTGACTGCGTCAAAAATAATATCGTCAATTTGCAATGCCCCCTTTCTCTATGGTTAGCTCAATGAACAAGTATTCACTTTTGACATTGTGCAACTCGTAAACCGGAATGTCTGGTGTCTTTGGGTATATTTAAACATGTAATAACCCACAAGGGTTCAGGGCAGAATATTTGGTGGCATCAGACATTATGGTTTCGAATACCTCGCTCGATCAATCAAGGACTGATTGGTTAATATTTGGTATGCGTATATATACACATCATCCATCCGTGATTACTTGATTAGATAAAGAATCGAGGCCGGAAAGGAACCCCCCTACGTGCATTCACATAAATATTGAAATTTTATCAACATACCTACCTAACCATAACTTATAGTCCTTGCCTAAATGTACTTGTAATAAAAGGTTAACCGAAACCAATTCGGAATGTTTAAATCGAACTCTGAGATTAGCATAACAATGTTTATAAATTGCAAGGTTACGATTTATAAATTTGTTCACATTTTAGGAACAGATAATTGCGGACGTTGCATGGATGGAATTTATTGTTTACAAATAGCGCCACTTTCACCGATTCGGTCAACCTGAAACGAGGTATTACGTGCGTATCTCTTTTGCACATCTCCTTCGCGATTTTCCTGACAGGCGATTAGTAGTGAAAGCGAATTTCCCCCAAAAAAGTTAAGCTACCTCAGGAAGATTTCAAAAAAAGCAAGAAGCTGGAATCGTTCAATATTTTTTCTCGATATCAAGAAATTTAAAAAGATGTTCTAGCTTTATATAGAAAGGTAAATAATTATTCCAAACATCTACTCCTATTGCTAAAGTGAACAGTTTGTGGAATGAACTGAATGTGACAAAATGTAGGTGTTATATATTTTAGCCAGATAGTTTATCTTTATTCAAGGTAGATGTTAATGATTTATGATGAAAATAAGTGAAAGAAATTTCATGGATGCTAATTAAATGGTTTTTTATTATACCTGAATCACAATCTCCGTTTTAAACACTCAAATGCGTGCGAAAAAGGGCCTTTAAAACACACGTGCTTTAAAGTTGCTAAGTAACGATACTTCAAGTATGACTTTTGAAACTGTCATCTGGATGAAATAAAAAATCCTCTTAGGTCGCTTTCTGTAAATGCAGAACATTTCTTTGGCTTTTGTACCTATCCTTTGGTTGAAGCTTTCACAAACGCGCGCAATTTAGGGTATGCTTCCAAATTTCTTGCGCATTTAACGCTAACACAGTAAATTCACAGCAATTTCGTACTCTCAGAGACCATTCGCAATTTGATGCTAATCTATTTCAAGAACCCCTAAATCTTACACCATGGGGACTAGTTTATGGCCTGGAAGACATAAACTCTAAAGTATTTTTTATTAATGAAGTAGTACTTCATTTATGTGATGTGCACTTACCATTAAGAAAAGTGAGAATAACCAAACCTCCTGCTCCTTGGTTAACCGATACCATACGGGAAATGATATGCTTGAGAGAAAAGTCATTAGCTAGATTTAAAAAAACTAAAGCGGCCACCGACTTTAATAATTACAAAATGCTGCGAAATATTGTAAATAACGCAGTTAAACGGGAGAAAAAAGCATTTATAGAATTTAAATTAAAACAGAATGGTAAACAAACTACTTGGCAGATTTTAAAACAATTAAACATTTACAATAAACGAAATTCGTCGGGTTTACCCAGTCATTTGCAGGATGTTAATAAAATAAACAAATATTTTATCAATAGCAGTAAAGTTGAGCGAACTAGCGCACAAGACATTGTCACGAACTATTATCTTAATAACTCATTTGATAGCAATACTACACAATTTGAGTTTCAAACTGTCACGGAAGAAGTGGTGGATAAAATAATACAATCTATCGGATCTAATGCTGTAGGAATCGACAATATAAGCATCTCAATTATACGTTTATGTTGCCCTGTAATTATACCGTATTTAACACATATTTACAATTTTTGTTTGGAAAATAGTGTATTTCCTGAAATATGGAAAACTGCATTAGTGTTACCTTTACCAAAAACGCCGAATCCTACTGAACTTAATGAATTGAGGCCTATAAGTATTCTTCCCGCACTTTCTAAAATTTTAGAAAAAATAATGGCTTCCCAGATAAAGCAGTATCTTTCCTTAAATAACATACTTCCGGACACTCAATCTGGATTCCGTTCAGGCTTCAGCTGTGCAACCTTATTGCAGTTGGTGACTAATCAAATTTGTACTGCAATTGAACGTAACGAAATATATTTGTTAATTCTGTTGGATTACAGCAAAGCATTTGACACGATAGATCATAAAATTTTGCTATCAATATTGAAATATGTTGGTTTTACCGCTGCATCTATCAACCTGGTGTCGATGTTTATCTCAAATAGGTCACAAATTGTCCATTTAAATGACCTACGCTCAAGTCAATTGCCCATCTCTTCAGGAGTACCTCAAGGTTCTATATTGGGTCCACTCTTATTCATAATTTACACATCTAGTTTTCACCGGTCATTAAAATTTTGCCAATGTCACATGTTTGCAGATGACACGCAAATTTCATACGTTTTTAATGCTTCTAGTGGGAAAGATGCAAGCGAAAAGGTGAATAAAGATCTAAAATCGATAATTGGCACGAGTAGTAAGCATTCCTTGCTAGTAAATCCTAGCAAATCAAAGCTTATGGTTTTTGGTAGAGCGAAAGAGCGTGAAAAAGCGCTGAAATCTTTAAATATCAAAATTGACGATGTGAACTTACAGTGCTCAGACGTGTCGCGTAACTTAGGGCTTAAACTAGATACTAACCTAAAATTTAAACAGCATGTTAATGAGTGCATTAGAAAGGCTTATTACAACTTAAAAATTATTTACAGTAATCGGCAAATATTAGGGCAAAAAACAAAGGCGATGCTCTGTAATTCTTTGGTACTTTCTCATTTCACATGCTGTGATACTGTTTATGGTCCTTGTATTGATAGTGTGGATATTAAGCGAATCCAGAAAGTACAAAATTCATGTTTACGGCTTATCTTCGGTATCAAAAAGCGAGAGCATAGTTCACATAAGTTGAAAGATGTGGGTTGGTTGAAAATGAGCGATCGACGGCTGTTGCATGCGGCATGCTTTTTTCGGAAAATAATTATTACTCTCCACCTTACCTATATGGCCTAATTCAATTTAGAACAGATGTACATCATTTAAATTTAAGGCACCGCGGTTTATTGTCAATACCTCGTCACTCTCTATCATCTTTTCGCCGGTCATTTGTTTATTACGTCGCATATGTTTATAATTCTGTTCCATCTGTTCTAAAATGTAGCACTTTGGATCACAAGACATTCAAGAGACTATTTTTCAAACATTTGGTACGATAGTTGGTTTTAGTACTGAAACAGAAAAATGCAACACAAACTAAGGAGAGCATTTTAATGTATTTAGGGAAAAAGTCAATTGGTAGATTTACTTAGAAGTGGTGATCTATAAAAATATATATATTGAAACAAGGTTAAGTGGAAGAGCAGGAGGTTACTTGTGACCAACCTGAACATCGCCTTGGGGTTCAACAAGCATATGAGTTTTTTTAATTTTATTGTTTTGTATGTTGTGTTTACAATTATTTTTATTTAGCTTGTTGAATAAAGACATTATTATTATTATTATTATTATAAATCTGTTCCACTTTTTAATCGCAGCATTGCTTTAAAGTTTTGAATGAATGCACCAAAATATAGAAGATTTAAATACCTTTGACATTTCCTTCATATATGCCAGCGGATGCATTTAAGACTTTATTCGTAAGTAACTTCCTATTCCATCCATGGAAACAACTTTTCATATTCTTTATAATAGGCTTTACTGGATTTGGATTTTACACCTACCAACGTTTGTTTAGATTTCACAACAATCGATTTAATGGACGGTGTATTATCTTTTTCAACGGAAATCGTTTAATTCACAAAGCCGATGATTTTTATAAGCAAACGTCAAGTGACATTTCCATGGCAATCGTGAAATTTCGAACACCCAGCCCACTTAATTAAACATGTATTCGAGTATAACGTCAATATGACTTCATTGTATTTCCGATTTTTAAATTATACTGCAGGTATAATAAAAAATACTATAAGATACACGTGTATAATTGGTCTTTAAAGCACTTGCAACGTTAAAAGCACTCCGCTTTGCGTCGTGCCCTTAAACTCGTTGCGCGTGCTTTAAAGACTTGATTATACACTTGTATCTTAATATACTATTTTGGGTGGTATTCTAGTTACAAATGGTGCAGATAAGAAGTCTAAGAGAAAAATAAAGCAAAATATGCGTGCAGACCTGGAAAGCCAGGAGAACTCAAGACAAACAGTCATTTGCGACTGAAACTGAACGAAATTCTATACAATTTGGTAGGTGTTTTTTTTATTATATTTATTGACGGCCAAGCCAATATTATAACAGACACTCCTCAATAACAAATTTTACAGGGTTCATACAATTTTAACGAATTTAAGAGGCCATATTCTCAAGGAAATAAATTCTGTTGAATCAATGTCGATTAAATCGTGTGGATTGGTTTCTGCCGAAAAACTAAGAAAGAGAGTAAAAGGTTACCTCACAGTGACGAACCTTCCTTTTAAAGGAAAACAATCAAGTTAGAAGTTTGTAGGTGCCGGTATCTGAAGTGAGACAAGTTCGTTCAATAACAGGAAGCTTTCTCGTAAAGGCTATTGTGGAATCATTTTTTGAACTTGAAGGAGTAGGACAATGTACATTGTCTTTCAATGAATTTGAATTAACTGATTTATGTTGTGTTTGCTGAAAATTTGTAACTCTCAATCTCATTCATTAAAAAAGTGGAATACAGAAGATTGCATTGTAGGCTAAGCATGGAGGTTCAGAGGCTGGTTTTGCTATACTTTTGATTTGGTCCTATTCGATGCTTTTTGGGTCGCTGAAGACGAATTTCAAATGTGTACACAACATTTGGCCAGGAACTTTGTTTTTTTGGTACTTTTTGAACAAATTTTGGCAGTTTTTTCAGTTCTTGTCCTATATCTCAGAAAGGAAGCGTTTTTTTGATAAGTCCATTCTATATAAATGAAAGTACACAACATTTCTTATCTTTCCTACCCCTTAAACTGTTACCGGCACTATTATACCAATTTACAACATCAACTTTTTGTTCAGTGGAATACATCGTACAGGAACGAAATAGTATATTTCATTACGAGTCCGGAAAGCAGGCTTTTTCCGTGCGCGCGTGAGGCGTATCCGAACACGGGAAGTCATGCAAGCACGGAAAAAGCATTTCTGGACATAACAAAAAACAACAAACTCGCCAACATTTTTATTTTGTAACAGTTATAGAAAATGCGTTTTCATGGTTACTCTCAAATCATTTCAAAGGCGATTTGTTTAATTAGTTTATTTCAGATAAAGTTGACGAAACGTCAAAAAATGTCACAAAATCTACAAAGAAGTTTATCTAAATATTCAAACATCTACGAATTAAAACGCAAAATACTTACATATGAAACATTACAACCCATATAGATTTTCTGAAAATTAGTTTACTTCCCTGTAAATTTGTATTTTAAAGCAATATTTTGGGTATTTATATTCAGCGCACGGAAAGAATCAAAGGGACCGGGAAAAGTTTTTCCGTGCGCTAGCCTGGAAAAGGTCAGATACCATTATTTCTAATACAGGTGTAAATAAGGTGATTTCAATGAAGTATAATAAAAATAAAAATACGGAAGCCAAAGCAATAATATTCAAATCATCTAATATGGCAGCGAGATCGTTATTTGACTTTTCATAAAACTAGACGCCCTTCAGAGGCCCAAAAAAACCCCACCTTGTCGATGTTCTAAGTGTGTTAAAAAAAACTTGAGACAACCCCGGAAAGGACTGCAGCAGCAGGGAAGAGTTTACTGGTCTGAGGTACATTAATTATAAGAAAGGCAGTTTTTAAGACCTCCTCAAAAATAGTTGCAGTACCACCATCAGCTGCTGTCGCCACACAGCACAGTTCTAACGTGCAACTGCAAGTGCAGCACTGGCTAGGAGTTGAGAAAGATGCCGAAAACCAAACTAATCTCGACCTTAACTAAAGAAAGGTTTAGAAGTCCTCCGTATGAAATCAAACTGTTTTGTCCTGTTTTCGAATAAATGAAGCTTTTGCACTACCAACCTTCGGCCTTAACCAAAGAGAGATGGCATAAAATTTAGTTCCTCCTCATGAAATCAAAGCGTGCGGTTTTCCTAACGAAATTTGTAAATAAATTACCGTTATGCTCTACCAACTTAATCTCGACTTCAACCAAAAACAGATGTAATTAAAGTGTCGTTTTTCCGATAAAATCTGTAAACAATTGGAAATTTCGCCCTACCAACTTAATCTCGATCTTAAAACACAGAGAGATAGCATAACATTTGGCTTCTTCCTGTGAAATCAAAGTGTTTTGTTGTTGTCCGACGAAAATTGTACATAAATGAAGATTTTGATCTACGAACGGAATTTCGACATCAACCAAAGAAACAATTTGAGGATTCGCTAGACCAAATCGATGAATTTAGAAGTCATTCGTGAATTTCATGTTATAAATCTATACATAGGTCTCGGTTGAAGAAAGGAACATTATTTGGCGCTTTTAAACAAATTAAACTTATCAGTTGTATGTTAAACAAAAATATTTATATATTTCAGGTTCCGCAATCATAAACAAACAAAATTGGGAACCCATGGATGTAGTTAACAAAAAGTGAAAGGTGGTGTTTACACAGAAGCTTGCTGCAGTAGTACTTCTACATGTGAGTACAACAGGGACACCCTTTCCTCCCCCGTTGGGATATACATACCCCCCATCCCCCGAATTGGATCATGGCTTTGGTAAAGTTCACCAGTGATGTAACTAAGGAGCTACCTTGTTTTGTGGTGCAAGGTCGTGCCCTGGGATTTCTCCGGCGAAAAAATCCTTGCTGAAGAGGATTACCCGGTGACTAACTAAGGAATGGCCTTGTTTGTGATGTAAGTTCATGCTCGGGGGGTTTCCCGGTGACGTAACTAAGCGACCTTGTTTATGTTGTTTTTTCGGTAAACGTTTTTGAATTTAATTTTATACAGTTCAGCCTCACAATACACACACGAACGATAAAAAAAGATAATTGTTATAGAGAAAACAAGATTTAAATTTAATTAGAAATTCGATGTTGATTTCTCTAGAACTTAATGGAAGATTCGATTTATGAAGTACTCCATTGTAGTTTGTTACTAATTACGTTGATCATTTTGAAAATAAATTTAAAAAACACAAACTAGGCTTTTTTATTAAAGTTTTTCTTTAGGCGATCGATTTCGGGTGATGCCTGATAATGGGAATTTTATCACCCGAAATCGATCGCCTAAAGAAAAATTTGAATAAAAAAGCCTAGTTTGTGTTTTTTAAATTTATTTGCAATGATGAACGTTAATGGAAGATATTTCACAACTCTTAAAAAATGTTGAGTTTAATTTTATAGTTTCTTACTTTGAGGTTTTAATTTTAGGAAATGCGTTTCAGAACTTGCACAAATTTTCTGTTGAGCTGTATAAAATGAAACTTAATAACTTTTACCAAAAAACCAACAGACACAAGGTTACGTCACCACTTAAACCGAGACAAGATGAGGCTGTTGCAAATTTTCGATACGTCTGATTAAATTTAATCCTCACATATGAAACGCATTTCTGCCGAACGGTTTTTTATTTATAGTTTCTACTGCATTATCAACTACATCAGGAGCAAGACATAATATATTTGCATAACATCTGCATATAAAAGGTACGTGTACTTCTCCAAAGGAGTGCGAATGATGTTAGAGTAAAAAATTACATATAATAGTGGGCCAAAGATGAACCCTTGGGGAACTCCGTGATACGGAGCACTACACACTGCTTTCTATTTGTAAACTGATGTGTAAGTGCAGTGTGTCCAATTTGTATACGATGAATCTTAATATTCTCTTCTCTTAGACCCAACATTCCTAGTAGGTGGGTGTTACTCCTTTCCCATTATTGTTTTCATTCTAAAAGTTTTTTTTTCTTTCAGATATAGTTTCTAACATCGGCCTCTATCATAAAAGTGACGCCTACTCGAGGATTAGATGCTCCTTGCAGGCGACAAAGTCTGCTTATTCTTTTCCAGGTATCCCAACATGGCTCGGTACCCATATAAATATTACTTCAGTGCTTTGTTCTAGGGCCTAATTCGGAGCAGACTGGTACAATTGTTCATGGTGTCTTCGGAATACATCGTGACCAAATTATGGGTAACGATTATAAACTTTCCTTCTTCTCACAATAGAGCACAAGAATTGAATTGTGATACTCCATCAACCAGCATTCTCAGCACCGTTCTCAGTTTTGGATCCATCAAAATTCTGTGAATGGGATATTTATTACATATGTTTTGGGATTCCCGTAGATAAGTATGATCTTTCGTAGTTCCTTTTGCAAGGCCTTTTAGGCCTGTTATAGTCCTAAAATATATTTATTAATAATCGTATGCAATTAATACATTTAATTAGTACATTATTACCGATACGTATACCATGAAGGCTCTCTACACATCCTTGGTTGGGAGCAAATTAGAGTATGGGGCGTTGATTTGGTACCCCCTGTATGTAAAATACGATGAAGCAATTGAATACATCCAGCGGCGTCTTGTTAAATACTTATGCTACAGGAAAGATGGAGTCTATCCACCCAGGGGGTTTTCTCAGCAGATAATGTGTGAACGGTTTGAGCTGCTGCCCCTTAAAACTAGAAGGAAACGTCTCTGCCTATCATTTCTCTATAATATCTTAAATAATAAAATTAATTCCCCGTCTGTGCCCGGGAAAATTGGATTCTGCGTCCCACGTTTGCCCTCAAGATGCCCAGCACCATTTTACCTACCAAGATGTAAGACCCATGTGCTTCAGAGATCTCCAGTGCATTTAATCTGCTCGTTATTTAATGACTTATCCGCGTCAGTAGACGTTTTTCATGAAGGTTTGGGTCGGTTGTTGCAATCATTAGAGTTATAATTTATTTTCTTTATTAATATCTTGAAGTGTTTTTTTTAAATTAATTACTAAACTACTCGCATGTACTTTTGATTTTGCAATTTTTTGGAATATTGTCCTGTTATTGAGTAGGTATATTTACTTGTTTGGATAATAAATATTATTATTTTTTTTTTTTGAAGAATCACATAATATATACTACATAAATATACATAATATATACTACCAAGCGAAAAGGCAACAAAAAATGTCTGTCAATGTCATAGCGCCCTATTATTTTTTTTCTCCAATATTGTTTTAAAATTGATTGCAGATGTTTATTAATAAACTTTTGTTTGTTGTACTGTCACAATTTAAAAAATTACATAAAATAAAGATAAAATAAAATAAAATAACCGCTCAATAGACTTATGCGTTTACACGCTAGTTCAAACCTATATATGTAAAGAGAGAATTGCGGTGACCGACGTTTACTAATCATTGCAAAAAAATCTGTCGTTACCTCTCGGGCGCCAAGGTGTGTCTGCGCCTAGGTGTCCCGGTGCTAAAACTGACCGCGCCAAAAAGTCCTAGACCGGAAGTGAAATCGGAGCAAAGAAAGAACGTGACCCGACCGTTTTTTTTAAATTATGTGCACTCATAGAAATAGCCAATAAATAAAAAATGGCGCAATCGTACTTGAACAAAGGAATTAATTAGATCGGGTTTGATATAATATAAATGATCTCATTTATAATAAAACTGCGGTCGTTAATCATTAACTGTATTATTTCTAAATGGCCAGTAATTACATACCTTAGACTGATAATTAGTTCTTGTTAAAAATAACTAAATATTGTATGTAGTTGTCGACCGAGAGAAAAAAATATCACTTTCCACATAGCGCAATATGCAAATTTGTCAAGGTGGGCATTGTTTTGAGGTAGTTAAACTAGATTCCTTTTGTTGATTATTATGCAACACCATTTGGGCAACAATTGAAATTCTCAAAAGGATGTTTCAAAATTGTAAAAATATTTCAAATAAAAGTAAACAATTATAGTATCAACGAACCCGACTGTGTTCGTTTACTTTTACTTTCTTAATCTTGAAAGGTTAAGGTGTTAAATGTTAATATTGTCTTGGATTTCCTGCGGCGGCGTTCCATTTTTCCGTCATTCATCTATTACTGCTTATTGATTCATCTTCAAACCCATAGGTTACAAATTGAAGAAAATTGGCCAAACTCACCCCTATATTAAAAGAGTAGTTCTTTAATTATTAAATGTTAACTAATTGTGTTAAAATAGCCACTCATTCATTCCCAATAGGAAGTTTGTCTTCTGTATGAACCTGGAAACCAAGACATGTCAGAGATGACAACTTAATTTAAATTAATAAAGTATAACACATTTGTTAAGTCTTTCCAAATAAACTTGACTTAACATGACTTTCTCATGCATTACATATAAAAAAATCGTGTCGTAAACAAATATTATCTCACACCTTTCCCTTTGACATACGATATCGATTTATTGAAATATGCAAAACATGTAATGAAATATGTTTCTTAAATTCCCACAGTCTACAAAATATTGTGTGTGTAACAGATTTGAAGAAAAAATGTTTAATGTGTACCTATTCATTGTTTAAAAATAACATTCAAAATTGTTCTACGTTCTGAAGGTACTTTTGATTAAGATAATTTATTCACATTTTAAATATAGGTACGTTTAGTTGCAAACTTAAGAATCTTTTACGAACACATTTGCTTCCTTAATCAAAACAGATTTGATCTAATTCGCGATTCAGAATAGCAGTGAGACCTCTGGTGGCAGCACATTGTAATTACTATTGGTGTGATAAGACCGCCATTATGTTTACTTACAATGGCTAAAAGTAATCAATATTTCCAAAGTGTAATTGTGAGCAGTGCAATTGCACAATTAAGGATAAATTAAAAAATAATCGCCTAATGCCTAACATTTCCAAAGTTTGTAATTGTGAACAGTGCAATTACACACCAAGAAATAGGATACATACGTCATTCTTTGACACACTCTGCTATCAGTGTAATTACGCTACTATTAAGCGTTTGCTTAAAGTGTTATCTATTAGCACACACAACCTTCTCGAACATTTAATTTGTGAACAGTGTAACTGGGCTACTCGCGATAAGCAAAACTTAAAGCGGCATATTCACATTGAAGGATGTCACTTTTAAAACTATTTATTCTGGTCTATTCCAATTTTAGTTTGCTTCTGTTCTGCCATCTGGGATACATATAGTGTTTTAAAGAAGGCAAGCTGACACACAAACAATACCATTATAATTACCCCCTGTGGGATCGGGGGTAGAATTGACCCATTCCCGTCCTGGAGATCGTAAAAGGCGATCAATGGGCACCAAAAATGACGAGTTCAACCGCCTTTGGTACTTATACCTACCCACTCTTGTTTCCAACTCCAGATTATCACTGTTTCCTCGACTAATACTTCCATTATTTGTAATATAGATGTAAATAAGGTGATTTCAATGAAGAATAATAAAAATTTGTTTTCTAATAAACATGTGATAATGAAATGGAAGAAATTTTCCTAGAAGATGCCTACTTTTTTAAGATATACCGAACGTCCATTTTAATTTACTTAAGTTTCTATTTCTACAAGACACATTTCTCTTCTCAGCATCAATTAATCAAATTTAATGTAAATGCAAATGAAATCGTTACATATTCTGTTCAGTACTTGTAATTTTATTTTAATATAACTTGGTGACTTTTGCAAATTTTACTTTTACAGAATCAATCGTCTTATTTTTTATTTATATATCACCTAGGTATCATATCGTTGCTTTTATGACCTTTTAATACATTTATATTTTATTACCTTGTCATATTTATTAATTCGATATTTAATATTACACTTTCACATTGGCACTTTTCCACAATCCAGCTATTTTTTATGTATAATTGCATTGGTATGTTTGTGTAGCTATCACATTTTGTATTAATTAAACACTCAATTAAACTTGGCAAGATAATTATAACTCCATACATGGTGCTTGATATTTAGCAAACTCGGAAACTGTAGCAACTTTTTGTAGTCGTAAAATCAATACGACGTTTATGAAAAACGCGATACACGTATATAAGTAATAAAGTTTTTTTGTAATTAACCGCTAGCTTCCATTGGAACTACTTTTTGTAGTTTCGAAAACATTATAAAATAAACTTATTAAAAAATTATAGCAATAAAACTAATATAATATTAATATAATAGTAGGTCAGTTAGTGTATGTTGGTATAAACAAAATTTAAAAAACAAATCGCACTAAAAGTAATAAATTGCAAAAAATGATGGTTGTCACTTTCTTTTCTTGTAATTCGGTAATAAAAATGTGTATGTTAATACTGTCAAATTTATGGTCTTTTGGGTTACAAAATGGTGTCCTTCCTCAAGATTTTCGGTGAAATTATTAATGCCAAGTTTCGTGGTCGTGTCAATCTTGATAAACGCAATATGTATATTACACAACGCAGTGTAATTATCGCAACAGGAGACCAAACCGTCAGGAGACTAGTGTTAGGATTATTCAATGATCGTCTTTTCGGTGACTTAATATATTGTCTAAAGAATTTTATTTAGTAGAAGTTGTGCATTCTGCCAACCAAAAAAATTCTCAAATCTTTTTCAACAATCTAGTTTTATTACTCCGGAGAGCTGTACCTAATACTCAATATCATTTATTAAAGAGCGAAAGCTTTGGGGTGAAAAGCTTGTTTATGAAAGTAACCATACTTTCTGCCTAATAACTGCTCGGGACTGTTCGCCTTGTATCTACCCTTATTATAACTCTTGATCTGATGTCATTTGTGTTTTGAATGGAAACACATCGACTTAGATATCGAAGGGGCAGTTCAAAAATGGCACTTAGAGGGTTTCATCCCTTCGCCTCCCCACTCCACTTCGAAATTTAAAATAGCACCTCCTAACTTGTGATCCATCATTTGAAAGGGCATATTTCTCTACTCAACCATAATAAAATCGGTCGATTGATTTTTACACAGGAGATGAAAGGTATGAAATAAATTTTAAATTTCGAAATGGATTGGGTGGCGAAGGGATGAAACCTAAAATTCTCTAGGTACCATTTTTGAACTTCCCCCTCGGTATCTAAATCGGCGTGTTTCCACTTAAAGCAATAATCGCATCAGGTCGCACAATGTATTATTATATATTTTCAAAACAAAATGGTCCATCGTTCGTAATAATTAATTTTTGTCCAATGATATTATTGGTAAACACGTTTATGCAATTCACTTTACCATTCTCATATATTTGTGTAAAATGTATCTAGTACTCAATGTTAGTAATGAACTATGAAAGGTCAAATTAACGCAGCCGATTTAAAAAAGCGTGACAAATGGACAAAATATAAAATTTATAGGTACCTATATCATGCTATTATATAAGTAACTAAATTAATTATTAAATTGAAATTTTTTTTACCTTGCGTTGATTTATAGCTTTGCGTGCTGGATATATGGTGCATCAAAGAGTTTAAATTTACAGTTTAAAATAATGCCTACTATAATTAAATTTTCATCACTACTTTACTTATTATTAATTTTTTACATTAAATGTACAGAGTACGCCACCTTTTTATGTGTGTTCTATTCATTAGGTACTATTTTGCTGTTATACGAGGGTGTGTCTCAACATTTCAATTGTATATTATTATGCAGAGTCGAAACGTGCCTTTTCAATGGATGCCGTACCGTTTGTAACATAGAAAAACATTGTTTCAGGGAGTAAGTTACTTTAATTTTTGTTGAATTGCATTAAATATTGGTCGGTTATCTACAAAAGATTTTTTTATTGAAGTAATCATAATATCCTTAAAGAATATTTCTACTGCAGCGGTTGTGACTGGTTAGTTACACTTACAGGGCTTAACACTCTAAGCTCCCAAAATAAAATTTAATTTCTACGGCACTGGCAAAAATTTTAAACCTTTAATTACTCTTACCTTGCGGAACGTTGGTTCTTTATCTCCTTATAACCTGAAACTCAAAAACCTGATTACCCTCATATAATTTGACTTGTTTGGATATACTAACAAAAAATACGATCGTTTCAACTCCAGTTTTCCTTACATTGGATTTAAAAGATTGGGCTTCATGTAACAAATACAAACCTATATCGTGATCACGTTTTCAACCTAATTAAATATCAGGATTTTTTATATTCTTAATTAATCACGAACCTGGTGCAGATTCTTATTCAAAACAAATTTACACACTTGATGGATGCTAAATAAAAAATTCGTTAAGCCCCTTGTGAGCAAGAGGCTTTCAAATTTGACTTTTCGATTTTAATAGCCTTTACGGACATTTCCTGCCTTAACGAGAATACAAACATGAAATATTTTTTTATTAAAAGTAGGACTCGGCCGGCATTTCAGTAAGAATCGTGCTCTCCCGCCAGATTTTTACTTAAATACCTCGCCGAATCCAAATACGAAACGACCCCCTTTTCCTGAACGCAACTTTTGCGAAAAGCGTATCCTCTTAATAATAATAATAATAATAATAATACCGTTTATTCCATGAGACTTGTATACAAGCATTATAAATTACAAATTATATAATTAAGTATAAATTATAAATAAGTAAAAAATAAATAAAAATACACTACCTACACGTTACATTACATACCTGCAACAATTTTACTGTTCAAGTATTCGTCAAACCTATAAATGCACATCTTTACCAACATGTTTTTTATAGTTTGTTTAAACCTAGATGGATTATGGTTACATTTTACGTTTTCCGGTAGTTTGTTCCAAAGTTTAATGGCAATGGCGGGAAAATGGTTGGCAATATAAGCATGGTTGAGCTTGGGTATTCTCAAATTCCGCTTGTTTCTTAGATTAACATTATTAACTACCGAGTCGGGTTGATGTAGATCTTTCTTACTATGTATGAATACAAGATTGTTAAGAATAAATAAAGATATACAGCTGTAAGTATATTAGATTGTAGAAAGAGTTCCCTACATGAATATCGTGCTGGTTTACCATGCATGGCTCTTAAAACTCTCTTCTGGCTAATCATTACCTCGTTCATTCTGCAACTAGTACCCCAACAAATAATATCGTAATTGAGAGTAGACTGAACATGAGCATAGTAGTAAGAAGTCAGACAGTCATAGTGAACCACATCATATAGTTGTCGAATTAAGTAAAAATGAGTAGCTAACCTCTTAATAACTATGTTTATTTGGGTATTCCTAGAGAAATTGTTGTCCAAGTGGAGTCCAAGAAATTTTATACTATCGCTTTGCCTGATAGTATGATTATTTAGTCTAATTAGGAGACTGCTATTAAGACCACTTTTTGAGAATTGAATCGCTTGAGTTTTATTCGAGTTCAAGAAAACCCCATTATCTGCACAATACCTGCTGATTTCCATGACACTCTCGTTGGCACGGCTACACAGGGTGTCTGGCTCATTACCGGTGATTATACTAGACGTATCATCAGCAAAATAACGTTAAAAAACTTTTATTATTAAATATATCATTAATAAAAATAATGAATAGAAGGGGTCCCAGCGTACTGCCCTGAGGAACACCATGTGATACCACTTTTTTGTCCAACTTAACCACTCCTCCTTGCCAAACCATTTTCACTTCCTGAGTTCTTCGTACCAGGTATGAGCTTAGCCAGTCGGCAGCTATACCTCTAACACCGTATTCATACAGTTGATTGACAGTCTCGAAAGCACGGGTGAAATCGTAAAAAATACCAACTACTGATTCATTGCGATCCGTGTGCTCTAAAATATAAGAGAACACATTCAATACCGCATGTACAGTTGAAAGGTTCTTGCGAAATCCAAATTGGTTTGGAGACAGTATCTTACAAGCGTTAATAAAACTAAGAAGCCTCGTATAGTACACTTTCTCCAAAATTTTTGAGAAAACTGAAACTATAGTTATACCTCTATAGTTATTGAGCATATCAGTTCGACCTTTTTTATGTATGGGGACAACCAGCATATGTTTAAGAAGGTCGGGAAAGATACCTTCCCTGAGTGACTCGTTGCATAGGTATGCGATAGTAGGACTGATTGACTCCTTGATTACATACAATAATGAGCATGGGATTTCGTCGAATCCAGCCGTGTGTTTGCCCTGTAAATTTTGAATGATAGCACGGATTTCAACGTGGTCAGTTGGAAACAGAAGCAAAGAATTAGGATTGGTGGACAACCTAGGTTGTTAAACAATACAACGTCCGTATTTTCGTCTCGTGCCCGACTTTTGGCGTCTGTGAGATCGTGGCAACACTGTGATGTCTCGACTTCTATCTGCGTGAACACTTATGTCTTATCTTAAAGTTCCTTTGGTAGTTCTGTTCTCTTTCATTATGAAGCGGTACACGTATAAAATGTCCTATCTTTAAATCCTTAAGCAACGACCTCTTACAAGCTACACTGCATGCGGCAGAAGTTCCCTAATCAAAGGTATCCCTCCTCCCCCCGTTACACCTTGTGTGCATGCAAAAAATACTGGATTTGACTCGTTAAGTACCTAACACGATCGGTAATATTATGTAAGATACAGCTTTTTGTATTCTGCGTCTGCAATATGTAGCCTATGCCTTGAAGGTGTGCCAGACGGTCATCAAATTTCGCTGTTTCAAGGGGGGGGGGGGCTCTCATGAATTGAATTGAATCCCGAAATGCTGTTTTTGAATGTAAAACGTTCATAACTTTTACATGCGACAACCAATTGATTTCAGATTTTGCATACGCACGCCTTTAGTTGTGCCAAGTAAAATTTTTGAAAATGGGGGAGGGGGGTCGAGAGTGAACACACGTTCTATCCTTCGTTGTATTCTAATAAAACGCCTCACCGAAATGAATTGGTTTAGGCAAACTATAGCTTTCCTGCGAAACTCCTTTCCGAGATCAATAGGTGGTCGGGGGGGGAGCAGGGAGAGGGTAAAAATTAGTTTTATCTTTCATGGTCTTCCAATTAAAGGTGTCAACAAAAGGAACTGTTTTCTACCAACTACCGCCCGATTTTTTGATTCCTTATCAAAAGAGTTGGTTTGAGGTAGTGGAGTGGAACTGGTTTTATCTTTCATGGTACTCTAATTAAAGGTCTCAACGAAAGAAATTAATTTCTACCAACAATAGCCTCCTTCTCGACTCCTTATCGTGATCAGATGTAAATAATTTCGTATATCTCATGACCAGATTGTCAGAGAATGGTGCTCACAAAGGGCGATTGGGACGCTTGGAAGCAATATATCTTGATGATGTCAAAACTTTACGGGTGAATACTTCGGCAAACGCTTTGTTGGAGGAAAGCACCCACAAAGACAAAATGAATTGTTTCTACGAGAGATATCTATCGAACAAGAAAGAAAACATCGATAAATATAGCATGCTACTACCTTATAAGTTATAACGCAACCATTTAATAAGTTACTTCTGTTTTAAAAATGCCCTTTATCTGCACAAGAGTTGTGCACAACTTATACTTGTTTTAGTATTAGGTAAGGTATGTTTTGCGCAATTAAATGTGTGGAAATTGTGTTTTGAATTAGCCAAAGAATGTCCACGTGAACTGTGAGTGACAGGTCAAAAATGAATTTCATTGGATGAGGCGTTCTTTTGATCGGTGATCACGTGAAAGACTGTGACTTGGAGCTTCGAATTGGAGTGGCCGTAAAAATTACACTACCAAAAGTTGCCATTCATCATACGAGACCCAGACAGTTTTTCCGGTTTTCTCGGTTCAAGAGTTGGATCCGAGTGGAGTATATTGACAATAACATTGATTCGAAACGAAGTATAATATATTTCTTAATTTTAGTACTAAAAATATTCGATATAATATGCAATTCTTCAAAATATGCATTTATACTCACCTTCTAATTCTCATATTCGACTTATTATTGTTGCTAATCATCCAGATTTCAGGGAATTTTTGAAATGGAAATCAAACTCAAAATTAATTGTTCAATTAGACACCAAATTTTCCAGAGATGTTTTCAAACTAAAGATACCAACATTTCTGAAAAGGATAGCACAGTCCACTATCGGGTTCAACCCGGATTAAAATTTTCGCCTCTCTTGGCGCACTGCTGGATTTCTTTAAAGAAGTATGTAGTGTTATAATGGGCCAAGGATTCAAAGAAAGATGGGAAGACACCTGTAAGATGATTGAAAGTCGGGACGTCAGAAACTCATCAAACGTACGATAATGTATGCAAAAGAGCCTAATTCAAACATGGAAACTGGAAAAAATACAATGATCGAAGATTTAGAGGTGAGAAGAACATTTTGACTCTCAAGAATAAGTAGCGGCACACTTTATTTCACCTTTCTTCGCATTTGAATTGAGTATTTCTGCTCATTGTTCTTGCTAACATACCACTTCGCTTTTTTTAGGTGACCTTCTCAAGCACGTAATGAATGTAATGATGGGCCTACTCGTAACTCAATTTAATTTGAGTGATTTCTCGGGAAATAGTTTGTTTGTTTTACATTGGTTGCGGATTACAACCAAAAAGTGTTCAATGGAATACCGTTTTGGTGTCATTACCAAAAATTTTTCAACATTTCTACTAGGAAACAAAAAAGTTAATTCAAAGCGAAACATTTTATTGTCGTATCAATTTTAATCAGCTGTTTTTATTAGAGGATGAAGAACGATGGAGGCTCCCAAACAACCAGCGGTATTGGCGACGTAGTCGTGAATATTACTTTCCAAAACCCACATGAGGCGTTTGTAACCGGGAACCACTTGCGTTGCCAATCGGCATTCGTCACCTCTTTGCACCAGTAGAAAGTTGTCCTCTTTCAAGCAGGTTTGTGTATTCCATATGTAAATATCGGAGCCACCCTTGCACCTGAAGAATATCGCAGCGCCGTTATCCGTACCCAGCGGTACCATATTCTCGCAGAGTGGCGTTGGTCCAACGTCGACAACGGCACCAGACACTTGCCCTCGTTGCAAGAAACTCGTTTTGATGTAGTAGATTCTTTTCGAGTTCAAGTACTTGAAGTATACCAAGTTTCCGGAGGGCTTGCGAATTAACAACGTGTACAGTATATCGTTATTGGGAGATTCGGACACGATTGATTTGGGCAAAACCACACGGTATCCTTTACCATTAAAGATGTCGTAGACGATTAGAGCCCCGCATCCGGCGTCACTTATGTAGGCAAAGTAGTTTCCTCGTTCATCAATGTCGACCAAAATGCACTGCAAAAGGCTCTCTGCCGTGACGAACTTGGACAAATCGATTGTTTTAACCACTTGACCATTTTTCGCGTCAATACCCACAATCTTTGGGGGCGCTCTCTTTATCGGCTGCTGCAGTGTGTTACAGATGCCAGTGTCGAGAACCCATACGGTATCTGTTCGATCTATGACAATATCCACAACGTTTTGTAAAGCTTCCGGATTTCCTTCCTCTTGCATCGACCAACATGGGTAAGGCAAAATGGTGGGCTTACTTTCTTTAGCCTTCAGCGAGAATGTTCCTAGCGTAATCGGCACCCCCTCTCGAAGCCTCGGCATGATTAAAATGCACTGGTCCTTGTAGATCACAAACCCGGTAGCGATCACGTTCTTCTGGATGAATCGTCCCGTCGACAAATAGATGTTCTTCGTGCTCGGACACGGAAATCCCATATTCCACGGAACTATCTTGTAGCTAAACTCGTGAACCAAATCGGTTACGTGTGACGGTGGAAGCGGTGGCGGAGGCGGGGGTGGCGAATCTGGTACGCCAGTCGCCACCGATACCAAAACGAACCACGCACAAATGTTTGCTAAAACCATTATTGGCAGTGAAACTAATGCTGGAATGAACGAAAATTAACCGTCTTTATATATGATAAATTGTTTAACAAATGAGAAGGTTAACCGATACATGTCTATTTAACTAAATCAGCGGAATGAAAATATTTATGTTTTCGTAGACGTGCATCTATTTAAAATTTGTGTGAGATTTCGCGAAAGGCAGTTGAATGGACTTATTGGGGAAAGCTCTTCGAAATTTTTGTGGGATTTTTGTTGGGACTATAATAGGCTACCTAATAATTAATTGTAAAATAGATAGACACTAGTGTATACTAACAAAATGCATAAAAGTTCTTTGTGGTATTGATTTTCTTTAGCCACCTTGTAATTAAATTCTCTATTTCTGTTGCTTCCTCTATTATCCTGACAATTTCTCCCATATATTCCCATTACCTTATTCTTCAAAATTCCGTTTAGGTGCTCCGGTATTTGTTCGCTTCTCCCGTCCTATAGCATAATTAAATCCATGCTCCCTTACTTTATAATCGTAATTATCTTCCCTCATCTCATCTACGAAATTTGGTCTTTTCTCAGTAAATTCTCGTATGTCGTAATGTCTTCTTTAATTATACTCAACCCTATTTCCACTTCAAAATAGTGGACTAGTTTACTAATTAAAACCGATTCCTGCATCCCTATGATGTTTAAATAGTTCATACCGCTCAATCAAATATGTTCCCTACTACCGATGTTCCTGTTGTATTTCCCTACATGAAGTTTGATTTTATTTTCATCCCATTCTCCCATGTATTGTTTCCTAAAAGTTTCTTCAAACGTTTCAAAATCTTTAATTTTCTCATTTACCGTGTCGTAGCAAATTTGGGCATCCCTTAATCAAACTCATATTTCATAAATTGTGCCTCATAAACGCACTTATTACCCCTCTAATTAACGCTACTAAATGCCTTAAGAAAATCGTCGGATGCATTTTGCAACTGGTCGCTTTGGTTTTTTTCTGTTAAATTAACAAATTTGCAGGTACAAGAAACCATGAACCAATATTCGAGAAAATAAAACGTGTTAAGATAAGAAACGAGTATTCCAGCAGATAAGAGTCGAAACGGTACAGTGTTGCCGGTTCTAAAAACCGTCGTGACGGAGAATGGGGAACGGTATTTCCGCTATAGGTACCTTCGCGGTTTCGTGGGGGTCGTTTTTTATTTGGGATTCGGCGAGTACTTAGTAAAAATCTGATGCAATAAAGACACTTTTGCCACTCAGCGAACCTATGCAGATAGAGCGCTGTATTTTTCGATTGCGTATTGAATCCTTTGGCAGACTTTTCTAGGCGAAAATTTGTAGATCACGTAAAACGAAATTCTTCGTCAAGCTTTCAAGGGGAATCGTATGAGTGGTGTAAATCTCGTAAAATTTCATTGTTTGTTAAAAGTTGGAACCGAAAGCCACATAACCGCAGTATATAAAAAAATCATTAGCCGCCCAACCGAAGATTATTCCACCATTTTCGACGAATATATTGTTGTGGCTACTTTATATATTCAGTGGGAACTGGTTCGAACAAAACCGTAATACGAGGCGTTTTTTGCAACTTGTGAAACTTCGTCGTGTGGTTTCACCACTATTGGATTAATTGGTGGTGGATTTATATTCGACTGAAAATACTGTGTAAATACGTAGGTGAATACTTGCGGGCCATTGCACTCGCATTTAAATAAATTGTTTCCACGAAAGCGTTGCGGTCCAAGGTGCAAAACGTTTAATTGCGCTGTATTTGAAGTAGCTAGTTGCAGTAAAAAACAAATTTATCAATCAAAACTGTGCACCGCAGTTGCGTAGGTATAGATCTACATTCGACGGCAACCGGTAAAGAGTTTAAAGACAATTAATTCGTGCTTTTGTTGGCTGTCAAAACCCAAAGTTATAAGGTTAGTTTTGGACATTTTCATATTGCGGAACATTGGTAACTATTTCAGTAAATAATTAGACAGGGTTTATATACTCAAACAAGTCAATTTATAGGAGAATTTTGTTGAGGTTGATCAAAACCAGAGCATCCGGTCATTGATAGTTGATTCATTGCTGAGCTAGCCGTTAATAATTTTATTACAAAAAATTAATTGTTACAGTAAGATTGTTACCAGTGCCGTAGAGAATAAAAATTATTTTGTACAAGGGGGGGGGGGGGGGTTCTAACTTCTGAAAATGTAACTAAACCGTTACAATTTCTCTTTTTGCCTGTAAACGTTTTACTATTTCCGCATCACTTCTGAAACCTACCATAAATCCTTTTCGTTTTTAATTCCTCTATTTCCGTTATACTTCTGAAATTGTCTACCAATCTTTAATTTACCTCCGCTTTCAAAGTGTTCCAGTTTTTTTACACGCTTCATTTAATTTTTACACGATTTCATCACCAATTCTATTACCTCACATTTCTAATTACCTATTCCCAACCCTTATATCACATTTACGATTACCTATTCTCATCTAATTTTTTACTAGGTATATTTTTTTAGCATTATCATTTTCAGAGACGCATAGACTCTCTTCAATTGAAAATGCCACTCGTTGTTAAATTTAACCGAAACAAATTAATTTTATTTAAACACCACAGACGTAGGTAAAAAAACATCGCAGCATCCCCTACTTAAAACTTCTCAATTTGAGAGCCTCGATCAACTTTCAACAATTCCAAAGAATTTATTACACAAATTTTCATCAACAACTGAAGTAAATCTTGATTGGCAATAGAAAAAAAATCTGGCATGAAAAACTATCCGGGTCGCACAATGGATTCGAATACATACACAATTTATCGATTTCCGAAACAGAGTGAAACAATATTAAAACAAAATCCCTGCAAGAAAGAAAAGCGTACAACGTTTTCTGGGACATATTACCCCGCACACAGGCCTCGACAATTAAAATAACAAATCTTAAACAATTTTTTCTTATTAATCCAAATAATCTGGTCGGACAAGATTTCCTACACAGGGTGAGCCATTAGTGTGAAGATTAGCGGGTGTATTAAAGCATGTATTTAAAATTCATTGTCGGAGCATGTTGAAGGGCCCTTAAGGCTACAACCTAAAAATATTTTTAACGAAATTGCAATTGTTATTTATATCAAAGTCTTATTACATAAGTATTTCGATTCCTTGGTCCATTTTAGTGTGACTTTATGTATTACACATGATATCTAAAATGAGTCGATTGGCGTTTATAATCTTTCACGGCCTACTAATTACTTGGAGGCTTTGAAAGCCTACTGTGAATTATTAGAGATTGTTGAATTCCAAAAAAATATGTAAAAGATAAATACCGACATGTTTATATCGCTAAAAAGGTAATTAAATCTTGCATTTGGTGTAATAACAAAAAATGGTGGTTCCATTAAAAAAAATCAAAGTTATCTTTGATTGAAATCTTGAAAATTGACGGAGTAATTCCTTTTAACACAAAAGAAGTTGAACTTTCAGCGATCGGCGTATGTTGGTACATTGTATGCATGTATGCACTATTGGAAAAATGACGAATTGCGACTAAACGGCTCATATTTATTTATTTATTTATATGTATTTATGTAATACATAAATCCACACTACAATTGACCAAGGAAACGAAATATGCAGGCTCCGTTAACTTAGCATCACCATTTCAAATTTTTGACTAAAGACAGATTGCGCTAGAATCTCTATGGCTAGCGCCACTTTGAGTTCAGCTAGCGCCATTATAGATTTTGCAGAAAAGCCCTTGACTTTCGGGGGGTGCTATGTTAACGCCAGCACCACCATTGCGTCCGATCATTTCCAAAAGCAAGCGCTGTGTTCGTCAGACCTAGCGCCAGCTAGCGCCACAAATTTTAGAGCTAGCGCCAGCCCCCAATAGTGAGGGGAGCAATTTTTCCTAGCACCACCATTTTGTCTTTTCATGTAAAATTTTGACGTTTTGTGTTCTGCTGACCTAGCGCCAGCTAGCGCCACTTTGAGTTCAGCTAGCGCCATTATAGATTTTGCAAAAAAGCCCTTGACTTTCGGGGGGTGCTATGTTAACGCTAGCACCACCATTGCGTTCGATCACTTCCAAAAGCAAGCGCTGTGTTCGTCAGACCTAGCGCCAGCTAGCGCCACAAATTTTAGAGCTAGCGCCACCCCCCAATAGTGCGGGGGGCATTTTTTCCTAGCACCACCATTTTGTTTTTTCGGGTAAAATTTTGACGTTTTGTGTTCTGCTGACCTAGCGCCACAAATTTTAGAGCTGCCATCACCCTCCAATAGTGTGGGGGGAGGGGGCACCACCATTTTGTCTTTTCGGGTAAAAATTTGATGTTTTCTGTTCTGTAGACCTAGCGCTCAAGTTAACCTAGCGCAATTATAAATCCTAGCGAGTTTATAATTTTGCGGTGTCTGTCCGTCTGTCCGTTAGCACGATATCTTGATAACGATAACGAATTGACCGATTACGATGAAATTCTGTAGATGGATTCTTTATCAAATTTGTAGATCGGAGTTCGTGAATTGGCAATGTAGACCAAAAAATAAAGTAGGCACTTTTGACATCTCTGTGAGTTATGAACCGAATAGCATGAAATTCAATATGTGTATAGCTTTAGCCATATAAAACGCAATTCCAAAAGTTGAGCCTAATCGATCAACATTCACAGTGCTCTTTTCGCATCTCGACCATTTACAAACCGGATTGAAAACTTTCTTATTTATGGAAGCATTTAAAATAAATTTGATACATAGCCACTTGGAATAAAAGCAAATTGAACGCCAGTTTCAAAATTTGGTTTTGTGCATGATGTGTGGTGCCAATTTTCTTATTTATGGAAGCAATTAAATGAAATTTCATACATATACACTTTAAATAAAAGCAAAACTAACACCAAGTTCAAAATTTGGTTTTGCACATGCTGTAGACATACCCAGGAGCTCGTTTTCTATATTTATTTACACGTCGATGCGAAAAGGGCACTGTGAATGTTGATAGATTAGGCTCAATTTTTGGAATTGCGT